TTGCCCCAGGGGAGGTTTCAGTTGCCCCTGAGGAACAATTTCTTGCCCTGGAGGGCTGTGGAGGCCTGTGCCAGGCTGCCCAGGGCAGTGGTGGAGTCCCCACCCCTGGAGGGGTTTCCAAGCCGTGGAGATGTGGGGTGAGGGACACGGGGCAGTGGGGACCTGGCAGTAGACCTGATGCTCTGAAAGGTCTCCGTGGTGGTGGGGACCCCCAAGGTGGCCTCCTCCCCTGGCACGTACCCACGGGGCCATCGTGTGAGACAGTGTGCATGCTGAAGGACAGCTCCTGGCCCGGGTCACGCAGCAGCTCCTTGCGCTTGGAGAAGGCCTTGGCAATCATCTTGCTCTTCTTGATCCTCTTGGGCTGGTCGTCGCTCTGCCCCGTCAGCCTGGGGACAAGGCAGGTCAGGGAAGGGACAGAGGGTGGCCCAGGCCCCAGGGACACACAAAGGCATTTCAGCTGGGGGGCACATCTCCCTCCCCTCCTCTGGACAGGGACACCAAGGGTGGGGGACTGTGCTGGATGAGTCCCCTGGGGTTGGATGTCCCACAACAGGACGATGAGACACCTGCAGAGTGGGAGAGGCCACCCCATTCCTGTCTTCTGTGAGCTCACCACTCATTGAGCTGATGGACAAGGGTCTGGAGGTGATCTCCAGCATCTCAGGACATTGGGTGGAGCAGGAGGGGCCACACAGAGAGGGGGGTGACCTCCTCAGTGTCCCACCTGCACCAGGTACGCTTCCAGATGAGCAGAGTGGCCTTGGTCCAGACCCAGGTGCTCATGGAGACACCAGTACCAAACATGGCAAAGAGGTTGATCTTCTCCACCAGCAGGCTCGGCCGGTTCTTGATCTCACAGTCTGGGATGGGCTTGTTGGTCTGTGTGGCAATGGTCACGTTGGCCTCACACCTGTGGGGACAGACATGGGGTGGTGGCCCTAAGGAGGGGGACACCCAGCGCCACCATCCAGCTCTGCAGGGTGGAGATGGGGTGGCAATGCTGGTGGGGGACGTGGGGATCTCCACCCTGCGACGTGCTGGGAGCTGCTCGGGTGCCACCAGTGTCCTGCTCTCTGTCCCTGTCCCACTCAGATGCCACCAGTGTCCTGTCTCTGTTCCTGTCCCACTCAGATGCCACCAGTGTCCTGTCTCTGTTCCTGTCCCACTCGGATGCCACCAGTGTCCTGTCTCTGTCCC